CGTGTCCTAGGTCTTCCCCTGGGTCTCTTCCCAGAGGGACGGCACCCGAGCACCTCCCGAGGGAGGCGTCCGGGGGGCATGCGATGTAAATGCCCAAGCCACCTCAGCTGACTCCTCTCGATGTGGAGGAGCAGCGGCTCTACTTCGAGCTCCTCCCGCGTGACAGAGCTCCTCACCCTATCTCTAAGGGAGCGCTCTGCCACCCTGCGGAGAAAGCTCATTTCAGCCGCTTGAATCCTTGATCTCGTTCTTTCGGTCATGACCCACAACTCATGACCATAGGTGAGGGTAGGAACGTAGATTGACCGGTAAATTGAGAGCTTCGCCTTTCGGCTCAGCTCCTTCTTCACCACAACGGACCGATACAGCGACCGCATTACTGCGGCCGCAGCACCGATCCGCCTGTCAATCTCACGCTCGATCCTACCCTCACTCGTGAACAAGACCCCAGATATTTGAACTCCTCCACCTGAGGCAGGACTTTCGAATACCCTTAGTGGTCAAAATAATTATAAATAACTGACGTTTAGTTGTTAAAAATGTGATGAAGTCGGCATAAAGAACAGAAGGATGGCGAAGTAAGTCCTCTCACGTAGAGTGCATCACGTGACCCCCCCACTCCACCTTTTTACTTTAGAAAAATACAGCAGCTGCTGGTGGGTTATATTTAGTTTGAAGTGCTTGACCATTAAACGATGTGTAGTGTTCACTGAGCCCCAGTTAAAGTAGGAGAAAATAGGTTCAAATGTGTCAGTCCTAACCTTTGACATGATTTATTAATGGTTGTTTAACTCTATTTTTAGTTGCCCAATATTCATGAAAATGTCACATTTATGGTAGGACATTCCTGGTCCTAGGCTGTGTTTATTAATCCTCTGACCAACATCCATTCTGTTCTTTAATATTTGATTTCTGTTTCTTCTCCCTATATTGACTATATTTTTAACCTTTCTACCAAAAGGAGAAAATATTTGCTAGAAAAGTTTGCTACTGTAGTTGTTTTTACTGTGTGCATTTTTTTTCAGCTTTCTGGAATATGTTTTTTAGCAATAGCAATGGCTAACTTATATTATTATTATTTATTATCCTATTATTTTGCTAGAGTTCAAACTACTTTTGAGTTAACACTCAGCAGTCCTGGTTAGCCTTTAGCCATGTTAGCTGCCATCATTAGCTTTTTTTAACAATATTGAGTTGGTTTCCTTGTTATGATTACATAGCAGCTCTAAAGCTTCTCCTTGTCTTTTGTCAGAGTGGTGGTGCAGCGATTTGTCCAGCAGAAGCTCTACCTGTTTCTCCAGCATTGTTTTGGTCATTGGCCTCTGGATGCCTCCTTCAGAGCTGTATGTCACGCACACGCACGTATACACACACCCGTGTCTTTTTAAGATTTATTGGTCTGTAGAATATATAGGAATAAATATGTATTTATTTTAGTGCGTTTCTGTGTCTGTGTAGGTGTTGGAGACATGGCTGAGCTACATCCAGCCATGGAGATACACAGGAGAGAATATCAGTCCCCTGTCGTCCCAGCAGAACAGAGGTGTTCCAGACAAATGGTTTGTTCTCTGATTTGAACCACATGGTCCAAAAATCACATCCTGAAATTTTTGTTCTATAGATCAGGGGTTCCCAAAGTGTGGTGCGCTGCCACTGGGGGTTCTTAAGATACAAAAAATGTTTTCCCCACACAAAAAAGACATGTAAATAAACTTTTTCTTGTGAGTTTAGAAAAACTAATGAAGTGAAAAAAAACCCAAGTGAATATAGAATCATTTATGTTAATGACATACTTTATTTTCGTATTGTTTTTACATTTGATATTATTTTAGTTTTCACAAAAATATTTTTCAATGGGAGAATGTAGGTAGTCACTGATTAGTTATCAGTCTGTGAAGATGACATTATCATGAGAACTATCTTGAACTTATCTTAAATGTCAACTAAAAATTGACACTAAAGGTTGTTTTTGTGTCATAGAGTTGTCTGAATTTGTGCTCAGTCAAGGGTCGTATTATGAAGAGACTTTTAATACAGTCAAGTAATATCTAAATGGCACAAAAGAGGGAATAAATAACAGAAAAAAACACTGTTATCAGCCCATTTTTTTTTTTTTTTTTGCCATCGGTGCTTCCCTGGTAATTAATCATACGTAATTAAAAAGGGTGTTAAACTGTGTGCTGGCTTGGAACAGAGCAGAATGAAGTTAAAGACAGAAAGACAAGACATTTATGAAAGTCGTTCTATATGACTTAGATCACTGTCATTCTAGAATAGTGGTCCCCAACCCCCGGGCTGCGCAGTGGCACTGGTCCATGGGTCAATTGGTACCGAACTGCACAGAAAGAATGCACAACTTACATTTTTTTCCGTATTACTTATTTGATTCTGAGCTATGTTTTATTTTGAAAAAACAAAACAAAACAAAAACAGTATATTTCTGGCGCATCTGTCTATGACTCACACTTGATGCATGTCAAGATGCTTGCCTCAGTCACATGTCTTACCTACATCCGCTACCTTCTTAAAAGGTCTGCTCTGGCCGATAACACATACATAATACATCACTGCTAAATTAAAACCACCAAGTTACCAAAATGAACAGGAAACAAACGTCTTTGGAAAGTTTCCTTGTGCCGGGTAAAAGAGGCAGTGAGAAGACAGAAGAAGCACGATTGTTACGAGGACGCTGCTAATAAAGTTGCATACGCAGTGGCTTAACGTTTATTAATATATTTAGAAAATACCAGTTTTTATGTTGGTTGTATCATTTCAATTAGTTGTATCTATCCACCACACCTTAAAAACTGGTCTGTGAAAAACAATTCAGACATTTAAAGATGACCTAGATCACACACATGTTGACATCAATGATAATGTCTCAGTTTATTTGCTGTATCAGATATACTGTATTTATATACACTATTGTCCATATACTGCCCAGTTGTTTTTGTATAGATGCTGCTGCTAAGGAACATGGTTTGTCCTTTGATTGACAGGTTTGTTGACTTGATGTTTCTTCTGTGTCCGCAGGGAGGGGTTTGTGCAGGAAAACCTTCTCATGTTTACCAAAATGTTCCAGGCTTTCCTGAATCGGGTCCTCAGGACGGACTTAGTCAATGCCAAGAATGCTCTGATGGTCTTCAGGGCCTGCAAAGTCTTTGCCCAGCCCAACCTGTCAGAAATGATCCTCAGAGGTGAGCAGACTGAGCAACAAGATCAAGTACCGTATTTTTCATACATAAGGCAGCAGTCAATCAAGCATACCGGGATCCCTCTCGTCATTATCCGAGTCAGTCTCATTGATGTTCATTGGTTGTTTAGTGATGATTCCGGCACTCGTGAAAGCTTGGATGACACTTGAGACTGATACCTTAGACCAGGCATCCACAATCTGTAAGCCGGCATTGCCTCCCTGTCTTGGTGGATGTGTGTTCGCCGGATGTGTTGATGGCAAGCCCCGCATTAGTTTGCTTTGGGTATTGACAATATCGGTGAGATGGCATGACATGGAGTCGCAGATCAATAGGGACGGTACCTCAGTGGATTCGAACCTGCAAACTTCTGGACCCAAGTCCGCTTCCTTAACCACTAAGCCACCGTATCCCCTTTAACTCAATGTTTACTTGCCCAATATTCATGAAAACATTCCTGATCCTGGGCTGTGTTTATTAAACCTCTGACCAACATCTACATCTAATCTGTTCTGTAATATTTTATTTTTTTTAAAACTTTGACTATATTTTTACCTTTTGGGCTGTGTTTAGTAAACCTCTGACCAACATCTACATCTGTTCTGTAATATTTTATTTGTGTTACTCTTCTTTAAAACTTTGACTATATTTTTACCTTTTCTACCAAAGGGAGAAAATCTTTGGTAGAAAGATCAAGATAAAGAAAGATAAAATAAAAAAATGTGTCACTTCACAATTACACTGAAAAGCTGAACCTGTCTTGTAACAGTGTTACGTTACGAAAGCATAATAGCAATTTAATCTAGTTAATGTGTTTTTACCTGTACTTTGACGAACAAAGTTGGACTCGTCAGTGGGAATTGTCAGCTTAATGCAGCTTTCTTTTTCTTTGAATACATAGGTTCGTTTTCTGTCTTCTCACTGGCTCTTTAACCGTGCACAAGGAAACTCTCCAAAGATCTTTTTCTGTTCATTTTGTTAGCTTGGGCTTTCAATATAGCGGCAATGTGTTATGTGTTGCCGGCCAGAGCAGACCTTTTCAGACGGTAGCGGATGTATGTAATGACATGTGAAGCAGGTATCTTGTCATGTATCAAGTGTGAGTCATAGATGCGGCAAAGAGAATCCAGTATTTTTCCAAAATGAAACATCATTCAGAATCTGATAATAATGTAAGTTATGCATTTTCTCTGTGCGGCCCGGTACCAATTGACACAGGGGGGTTGGGGACCACTGCTCTAAACCATACTGAGAACAGATGTTTCTGTCTCTGCCTTTGTCCAGGTGAACAGATGTTCCTGCAACCAGAACACGTCCTCCACCATCGTCAGACCCGTGGCCTCATGTCACCGAGTCAAGGAGGAAGTTATCTGTCATCTCGCCACAAGGTTGTGCCAGATGCCGTTTTCAGAGTCAAGAGCCATGTCTATGCTATGGAAGGACAGGACTGTCGGTACCAGCAGATGTTTGGTACTGAGCTAAGAGCAGCTGTAAGTTCATTGTCAGCATTAAACAGAACTTGAATTCTTGCATGTCATCAGGAATGGTTATGGAAATGATTGTGAGAGTGTCAATATATGTGTTCTGGTTAGATCTAAGCAGTGATTCTGGACTTGATTCTTGATTCTATTCGGTATTTAGGTGACAAGGTTGATCCAGATTATTGCTCAGTCCAGACAAACTGCTCAGAGGATCTCAGACCAGTCCAGTGAGCTTACAACCTCCTCCTCATTCCTGTCCTGGTTAGGACTTGGTTCTTCGGAACTCAATGGGACCTTTAGTGGGTCAGAACCAGAGGAGAGTGGCGAGTGTCTGAAGAAGACCCACGAGTTCCTGGAAAAAGCTCTGGAGAGCCTGTGTGTCATCTTCAAAGTAAGGACCTGCTTTTCTTACATATATACATGACTTTTAGCATATGTTGCTAAATGTTAGCTGTTAATTGGCCATGATTCCACAACATTCCAGTATCTGGAAGATGATTTTGACCAACTTTTAGCTACACTACACTTTTGTGCTATTCTGCCTACCTGTGGTATTATAGGTGGTAAAGGTAGCTTCTCTGAGCAAACTGTTAGCTTGCTTTTGTAGATTCTGACATTCTGTCTGTGTTTCAGTTAAACCAGGGTCATGTGACTCAATTCGTCTCCAATCTGGCTTCAAGTCAGGATGAAGGAAACTGTAAACAACTGCCTGACTGCATCCAAAGAGAAGACGGACTGGTCTTGACTGATCTGGGCCGAAAACAGGTCTGACCCTGAACTTGACCTTAGAGCACACACCTGCAGGCCAGCCATCATTTGTCACAGCTTTACCAGTAGTAAACTTAATCCAAAGCAGCTGCAGTGAATCCTTCTGTAGAATATTTACTCCAAATCACATGCTAAAATGTCAGAGCATAAAAGACTTTCTGACTGTAGAGAAGACAGATGTTTGACTATTTTTAGGCTTTCCAGACAAGACACAGGTGGACACATACTTATACTCAAAGTACAGTCCAAAGGTCCAAAGTATTTTTCTGAGGGTAGAGAGAGAAGAGGAGGAGGAGAAAGGAAGAGTGAAGGGGAAGAGGAGAAGTAGGAGGGAAGAGGGGAGACAGAAAGGAGCAGCAGTGTTAAGTCCATCAGTAAAGTCAAGTCAATCCTCCTGTTGTGACATCTGCTCCGAGCATCAACACAATAAGTGTGTTTAACCCAACTAAGGTTCAAACAGCCAGTGACTTAATGACTCACTGGTTCAGAAACAGAGAAGACAAAGTACTTATGCATGCCCTCCTTGAATTTCTTCATAAATCAGCAGCCTTAAAGTTGTTGTATCTTTCTGCCTACACCACAATATTGACTAGGACCACTGTCCATGCAAGTGATCTGTGAAGTTTTTGTATTTACATTATTAATATTATACTTTGATTGTTTTGTCGGCAGTCTGTCTTAGTGATTTGACATGAGGAGAGTCATCATTTGACAGAATCAACGGAAAAACCCAGCTTTGATCTGCGCCTACCACTCAGGGCATCACTGCCTTAGGCCAACTGACTGTAACTCGAGCTGTTCCTAACACTGATCCAGTCCTTGTGTTTGTGTGGACAGGTCATAAACGGACTGCGTAGGTTTGACATCCAGTACCAGGGAGATCCAGAGCTGCAGCCAATCAGGACCTTTGAAAATCCCCATCTGGTCCGCTTCTTCTACAGGATTTCATCTGTCATCAATGAGAGGGTGAGTGATGTTGTCATTGTTAATGTCATCAGTGTCACATCAGCTGTTTGGATATTTTCTATCGTGTTTCTTGGTCTTTTATGAGCTTTACTGTACTTTGGGAGCTGTTGTTTACAGTTGCTAGCAGTTTAAGCTACATTTTTATTTGAATGCATTGTTTGACATAGCTGTAAAAAGTCTTAAATCAATAGTTATGATGATTTAAATATTTTTTTTTTCCTGTCTTCAGTTTGGAGGTCACATGACTGCTCTATGTTTGCGGCCCGGCTTTTTGGGTCGCATGGGTCGTCACTTCCTGACTAATCCTGGTTCAGTTTGGAAACTGAAGCAAAGCCCGGTGTCGTGGACTAGGGTGGGGGGGTCTTCACAGCCACGGCTAAGCCTCCGCCCACTGGCCAGTTACAGGACCATTGTCCTGCTGCTGCTCTGCTACATCCTGGGAATGCTGCTGTCCTTTGGACCTTTGTCCAGTACTATACTCATCCTGATCCTCAGCTTCCTGTATGGACTCTTTATGACAATGTTTTCAGACAGACTTCAGACACACTAAGACTTGACCAGAACAGGATTGTAAACAACATCGTCATTGTCATCGTCATCTTCTTCATCATCATCATTAAAGTCCCCTTTATTAGAGTAGCTGCATTTCTTTTTCACAATCTTCACTGTTTACGCATAAACACAAATGATCAGTCACATGATACATTCACATTGACCCTAGTGAATATGATTGACCTGAAGATTTTGGTCATAAAAGGTTTAAACATGTTTTTAGTCTGAATCAGCAGTTTGGTCATGGAGTGGCAGCTTTTTTTTAATGCATTTTTGTTTGAAAATGTATAAAAACTGACATGAACAAAGACAGTTGTTTGTTTTTGCTTTTGTTTTTTTTTTATAAAAACTGACATTAACAAAGACAGTTGTTTGTTTTTGCTTTTGTTTTTGTTTTTTTTACAACCAGCCAAGTGAGTAGAGAATATTCAGTTTATTGTTTTTTTTACAACCAGTCAAGTGAGTAGAGAATATTCAGTTTATTTTAGCCATGCGCTTTTATGTTACAGTTGATTTTAAGAGTCCAAGCAAGTCCAAGAAGAAGAATCAGCTTTGTTGGTCGTTGTACACACAGCCACTGATGTCCTCTGCAGCTAATCCACCACCACAGGCACAGCTGCCTTCTTCTTTTCACTTGGTGAACACTTCATCCAGATGATGTTCTGATCACTGTCAACAGAAGTGACCAAAATCCTGTAGCTTCAGTGCTCTGAGTAGCCAAATAATTTCCATGTGGTTTCTAGCATCCTTAGTATCGATGACATCATATAACATTTTTTGTTGAATGTGGATGTAGTTAGTGACATCAAAGAGTTTCCAAACTGTTTTGCCTTTGATGGGACAGGTAAATTCTGTCTTAACGTCTGTGAATTAATTTTGAAACACAACCCTAAAGATAGTGTGAATGGACACTGACCTGGTGCTCTTCAGTGTCAAAACCACAGAACCAACCTTAAGACACAGTAGAAGGAAGACTAACTCAGAATGCAACACAGCAGCTGTTGAAACACCAGAAAACGGCAAAGAAGGAGAGACTACAGTTTAAGATTCACAGTCTGGAATCACAATAATGCCACACACGTGGTACAAAGCCTACTACCAGTGTGGTAGGTCAGCTGATTCAAGAGAGGAAGTTTTGCAAAGAATCATTGAACATCTGACCAATGTCCTCCAGCCAGACATGTGTAGTACAGAGGAGCAACTGAGGACGGAGATGCAGAAGCTCCGACTCATGTTGGTCATGTACGATCAGGAAATGCGACAATGTTACATTGCCATGAAGGAGCATGAGGAGAGTTTCAGGAAACAGCTGAGGAAGATGAAGCCGAAGAATCAAGCTAGTGATCAGAACCATAGGTTCTCTCAGAGAAAACACTTGGCCTTCACTGAGCTGGATAAGAAAACAAAACCAGGAGTGGAAGAGGAAACTGGGTGGAGCAAGAGTCGAGAAAAAAGCAGTCATGCAACAACACGGACACTAACTGCTGTCAAACTCCACCACCACCCAACCAAGGTCAAAGAGAACCAACAGAATTTAGAAAAGTTGTCTCCTGACACCTCTGGACAGGCCATCAACTCAGCTGAGAAGAAAGATTTGACACAACACCATGAGTGGAGTAAAAAAGCCCTCCAACTCCAACTTCTACCAAACAGAACCCTTGAGCCCAGAGTGGAGGGAGATAAAAGAACTTTGGAAAAGAATTTTGCATCAAAAGAAGAAATGGGATGTCAAGAAAGTGACACAAGAGAAGACCAGAGTCCAGAGTGGGTCATCTCACAGAACAGAATCTCCAAACTGCAGAACCAAATTGTTTCTTTTCTAGAAGATGCAGTAGGCAAGAACAACAAAAATGCAGTGTCTCAACCTTTGTCCTTTCAGCTAACAGACATCATGGAGCCTGCAGAAGTCTTGCTGCAGAAAAAGAAACGACCAAAGTGGTTACGAAGGGCTCTGAACTTTTTCAGGTAGATTTGGCTAAAAAGCTTTTTACAAATGGTTGTCAACCAGCACCTAAAACCAACAACATCTCCAGGAACCAGCACATCTTCAGATCTTAACTATCTTAACGGCAACACCAAAAAAAGTGATTCCATAGTAACAATAATCAGCCCAAAATCAGAACGTTTGGATGTATAAAGTATAAATTTGAGAGAGATGAGTAACTAATTAGACTAAAGTACAACACACACGGAGAAGAGGTGATCAACTCCATTGTTAACTTGACAAACATGCTTTGAAACAGGTCTTGCAAAAATTGATATTCTGTAGATTTTCTTTTTTAAAACTTTAATAAGATCAACTCAAATAAGATTAATTAATCTAGTTACCAACCCCCTTGAAAATTACCCCCCTTTTAAAAAACAAAACAAAACAACTCTTCATTTTAAATCTTTCAAATAAGATTATTTAATCTAGTTACCACCCCCATTGAAAATTAGCCCCTTTTTTAAAAACAAAACAAAACAACTCTTCATTTAAAAACACTGTCAAATCCCAGACCAATATATATTCAGTGCTATGGGTCAAATATGTTGGTAAGAATTGTGGTTATTTGCACAGCAACTGTTTAACTGGAGAGTTTAGATGAGTCAGAGTTAAGATTACAACCGGACTGTCTTGTCTGAAACCTTTATATCAGAACCAAGATACACATCTCTGGGGCAGTGGTTCTTAACCTGGGTTCGGTGAGTCAGTCCTTTCTTGTCCAATTCTGGTGAATACCTTTCTTGTCCAAATCACTCTGAATTAATCAGTATGGTTTGTGCCGCGTTTGTGCTGTTCAAATAAACCTTTGTGCTTTTACGGTTTTTACAGTTTATTTTTTCACACGTCACGCATGTGAACAAAAAAAAAACTTAAAACGTAAAAACATTAAAAGTACAAACGTCTATTTGAACTGCACAATCGCGGCACAAACGATAGAGACTAATTTGGAGTGATTTAGACGCGGAGCGGTGGCTGCGTGACGTCAAAGGTCAGAAAAGGTATTTTTGAATAACTCTAAAGCCTTAATAGCACAAACGAAACATTTTACAGCACAAACGTAGAACAAACGAACAACATCGCTCTTTCAATATTTTGGAAGGGGGCAGCTTCACGTAGTTTTTTCTATGTCATCTATTGTAGAAATGCGGCCATTACAGGGAAAAGGCAGATGTATAATGATAATAGAAAGTAATAACATAATTTGGACGAGCCGGATTTTGGCTCTCGGGCCGTAGTTACCCCATGCCTGGTCTCCCTCATAACTCAACAAATCTTGGTCCTATTTTGAGCGGACACAGACCAGGACCAGAGCACATTAACTGCACTTCTGCAGCCAGTACTCCAATTCACCTTTTGGTCCTGGTCAAATTTGCTGAAATTCTTAAATTTGCCCACATATTTTTACTTCTGGCTCACAAACTTCGATGACTATGTTGTCTTGAAGATTTGTTTGAATCAGCAGTCAGGATCGAGATAATCAGTATTTTCTACTTATCATGTTGTGGCTGATTACTGTGTTGTAAATACACATTACGAAACAATATCCAAACACGTGATGTTAATAGTAGTTGAATAATTTTATCACATTTGAAATTCAATATTTAACGTTTATCTCGTTTTCCAAAGACTTTCAGCAAAAATAAAACAAGTAGTAGAGGTTGATTTTTTAAATTATACTGAATAAAAATCGTAATAACTATGCAACCACACACTGTTAAACATGGACAGTTTTGTTCGTTAAAAGTGCATTTTGTGGTTTATAAACAACTCAATTTCCCAACACCCCTTTCGCGGGACGGAAGAAGAGCAGCAGCTCCTCTGTCAAAGATGGCGGCTCCTCTGACTCTGTTGTTTCTGCTCGCTGTCACAGTCCGAGCCGCCCTTTTTAACTCTTCTTTGAAAGAGCTAATTTCGGACCGGGTCGAGGTTGTGTCGCCGTTGACCGCATGGAAGAGAGGTTGGTTCCGGTGTTTCGGGTCACATGTTAACATCACAGACGCTAAAAGGCGATGTCTCGGTGATTGACAGCATAAGGAGGGACCCTTTTTATTAAAAAAAAACAACAAGCACTGGTTAATGAAAACAGTACAGGACAACTAATTATTGTTATTATATAAAATGTAACTTTTATTTAGATTCTGCTTTGATACATAAACCATTTCCATTGAGGCTTTCACGGAGTAAATGAATGTAGACTTCCGGTAGGTAATAATAAAAGGACGGAATTAATGGGAAATAGCTCTGCCCCGGAAGAGGAAGTACGAATGGCAGGAATTATTTTTTAGAAAAGTCTCGTTTTTGTAACGTGATGGCGACAAGGGACTCTGAAGATCTGAGGAATTGATTAAAAAACCCTAATGGTTTTTGTACGAAACGTTTTCTCTGTTACCACTCTGCTGCTGCTTCTTTTTCTTTCGACTTTGTCCCCTTTTTTTGGGGTTGCCACAGCGAATCAACGTTTTCCATTTTACCCTGTTCTCTGCATCTTCTACTCTAACTCCAACTATCTGCATGGCCTCCTTCACTGCATCCATATATCTCCTCTTTGGCCTTCCTCTTTGTCTCCTACCTGGTAGCTCCATCTCTAGCATTCTTCTACCAGTGTATCCACTGTCCCTCCTCCATACATGTCCAAACCACCTCAATCTTGCTGCTCTAGCTTTTTTCCCCAAACCCTCTGGTCTGTGTTGTCCCACTAATGACCTTATTCCTAAAGCTTTCCCTCCTTGTCACTCCTAGAGAGAATCTTAGCATCTTTAACTCTGCCACCTCCAGCTCCGCCTCCTGTCTTCTGCCTATTGCTACTGTCTCTAAACCATACATCATGGCTGGTCTCACAACCGTCCTGTAAACCTTTCCCTTCACCTTAGCTGACACTCTTCTATCACAGATGACTCCTGACACTTTTCTCCAGTTATTCCATCCTGCCTGCGCTCTATTCTTCACCTCTCTTCCACAGTCTCCGCTGCTCTGAACAGTTGATCCTAAGTACTTAAACTCCTGCACCTTCACCACCTCTGCTTCTTGTAGCCTCACCATTTCACTGTTCTCCCTTTACAACATGCTTCTTTGCCACTCATGACTTCCTCATACAAAACCACAGTTCCTTCCTTGGCATTCTGTCATATGCCTTTTCTAAATCAATAAATACACAATGTAGCTCCTTCTGACCTTCTCTGTACTTCTCCATCAGCATCCTCAAGGCAAATATAGCATCTGTGGTGCTATTTCATCCTCTTCAGGGCTTTTCTTACTTCATCCTTTCTAATCTGATCTACCTTCTTCCTAATAGTTTCGGGCTCCTCATTCCTATGTTCCCTTTTATTTACCTCATTCAACAACTCAAAGTGTGGCGCTTTGGCCCAGAGGCAATGTCTGTCATTGGTGTGGAACCCCAGGGTTCACCTCCTGGACAAGTTCGAATCCCGGTTAGGGCGGTTAATACCTTCCAGTGGACTCACCACCCGCAGGAAGGTTTGGGGGGTTGTTATGGTGCAATGTGATTTGGGTGGCGACTGCTGCCCCCGCGACCCGGTAACGGATAAGCGGATGAAAATGGATGGATGGATGGATGGATGGACAACTCAAAGTACTCCTTCCATTTTTTCAGCACACTTTCCTCACTTGTGATTACATTCCCCTCTCTGTGCTTAATCAACCTCACCTGATTTCTCTGTCTCGCCAATCTATACAATTCCTTTTCTCCTTCCTTTGTGTCCAAACTCTCATACAACTCATCATATGCCTTTTGTTTGGCCCTGGCCACTTTCCTCTTCACCTCCCTTGTCCTCCAGTCTGTTATCTTCTGTTCTCTCACTGTCCCATCTCTTCTTCGCTAATCTCTTTCTCTGCACACTCTCCTGAACCCCACAATTCCACTAGCAGGTCTCTTTGTCTTCCTTTCTCAATTTCTCAACAGGGTCCGGAACTGCCCCTACTTCCTTCTTGAAGTCTTCACAACATGTCTCTTTCCTTAATTTCCACCACTTGATCTTCTGTTCTGTCTTCATTCTCTTTCTTTTTTTGCACCTCCATCGTCATTTTGCACACTACCATCTGATGTTGTTTGGCTAGACTCTTCCCCGCTACTACCTTACAGTCTCTAATCTCCCTCAGATTACCTCTTCTACATAGATTATAATATAAAAATATATAATATATGTCACCCTGTGTTTCTCTCCCTAACGCCAAACCTGCCCATCACTTCCTCATCTCCTCTGTTCCCTTCCCCTACATGACCATTAAAGTCTGCTCCAATCACCACTCTCTACCACCCAATCCAGCTCCTTCCAGAACTTCTCCTTTTCTTCCAACTCACAGCCCACCTGTGCGGCATAACCGCTGACAACATTAATCATCACTCCTTCTATTTCTACCTTGGCACTCAACCTGTCTGACTCTTGTTTCACCTCCACCACATTTCTTGCATGATCTTCCTTTAGGATCACCCCTACTCCATTTCTCTTCCCATCCGAACCAAACCGTTTGTAGCCTCCTCCAATGTTTCTAGCTTTGCTACCCTTCTACCTGGTCTCCTGCACATCCAAAATGTCTACTCTTCTTCTTTCCATCATATCAGCCAGTTCTCTACTTTTCCCTGCAATTGTACCTACATTCAGAGTTCCAAACTTCAGACTAACACGTCTATCCTTCCTCTTTTCTCTTTTTGACCGAATCAAGCGTCCTCTCTGTTACCACTCTGCTATACTAATTAAACTATTTACTCGTGGCGTTTGGGAAAAAATGTCTACCAGCATTTCCAGGAACCATTCCCACATTAGTACTACTACTACTACTACTACTAGATTATAACACTTGCAGTAATATCGGGCAGTACCAGAAACTTGTTTTTGTCTTAGATTTGATTATGATTTGTTTGTTTGTTGTTTATTTACAGTGATTGAGGGTTTGGCTCTTCTTGATTTGGGAGTTTCACCGTACTCTGGAGATGTTTTCCATGAGGTGGGGGATGCATGCACACACACACACACACACATTGTTGATCCATGCTGCCACCACCACTAGGTTAAAATGTGTCTTTTAAAGTCAATTAAATCAATTTAATCAACACAAGCTGACCACAAGAGACAGCAGTGGACAAGCTGCTCCTGTCTCTCTGTGAATCAAAATCACAGATTTTTTTTCAATGATGTTTTATCCGGCTGTACATTTCTGATTTTTTTCAGACGCCTCTTGTCATTTACCTCTTTCACTTTGTGGTGGACTACGCTGAAGTGACGTTTATGGTGAGTGGAATGTGACTGATATTTGTTAGAGGATTTGTTCATTTAAAAAAAAAAAAGGTTTTTTATTTGATGGTCTTGAGACTAAGAAAATGTGTTTACATGCTACATCAATGAAGTCTAATAATCTTAGGTTCTCTCATGTGTATTCTTCTGTTTAAAATGTTCTTACATTTTTTCCAATTGTATGCTAATATTTTGCTTTTAATCTTTTCTTTCTGTCTTTTATAACCATTCATTGTTTTTCAGCTGCAGTGTTTTTCACAGATAATGTCCTTTTTTGAATGTAGTGTATATGGTTGGGATAAATGGTGAATACTACATCCATCATTTTTTTCCCTTGTTGTTGTTTAGTTGGCTGACCTGATCACTGCAGGTTGTCTCTACATGGCAGTTAAGGACTACAACAAACAAGTGGTGAGAGAAGCTGTTCACACACATTCTGTAGAACCATCTGTGAATCCTCACCTCACTTTTCAATGATCCTGCTCAACCTTGTAGCAGTTCTTCACTTTAACTGTAAAAAAAAAACACAAACTGGGTCGGTAGACAGTGTAATGACAATCAGTTGACTGTGTAATAACAGTCAGTAGACGGTGTAATAACATTAAGTAGACAGCAAGTAACAGTTGAAAGGCAGTATAACATTCAGTCTAGTGTGTAATAACGGTAGGCAGTGTAATAACAGTCAACAATCAACGAAACATTAGAAACAGGATTGTGTGGTGTTGCTTGTGTGTGCGTGTGAGTTGCTCATGCTAACGCTAACAGCTTTCTGGTTTTTTTCTTTAAGTTCAGGAAACAGAAGTTTGCCCTGGAGGCAGATCGGTACCCTTTGGACTGTTTGGAACTTATCAGGAGCCCAAAGGAAATGCATTACATCCCTCTAAAGGTGGCCATGTTGTAAGTACCTGCTTATTAATAACAATTTCCTCTCATTGATATCAGTTTCTGTTAAACCGGTTTTCTTTTCAGATGTGCTATAATTCACTGTCAGACCAATTAACCTTTGTTCTTCCTTCTCTTTCTTCTCCTCCGTGTCATTTTCCTGCAGTTACCTATTAAACCCGTTCACCATCCTGTCCTGTGTAGCCCGCTCCACCTGTTGTCTGAACAACGCTGTCATCGCTCTCTTCATCCTCTCCACCATCAAAGGTACAAATAATGGTACAAAGGTACGAATAATTTGAGGCAGTGGTGGCTTAGTGGTTAAGGAAGCGGACTTGCATCTGGAAGGCTTCAGGTTCGATTCCACCAGCTGCCAAGTTGCCAAGAGCACTGCGGTGCTCTCAGCATGGCACCATCCCCATACACTGCTCGCCGGGTGCTTAAAGCTGATGATGATGATGAGTTAAAGGAAGAGGTTCAATTTTGTTGTATCCCTAATGTTACAATGACAATATGGTTTTATATAAGACTATAATTTAAAATTTTAAAAGGTACATGGGGTGAAAGGTCACACTGTGTCCTGATAAACCGATGACCTTTACACTACAAGAAACATTGAAATATATAAGTAACATTTTGCTTTGTGTAGTGCTCTCTCTCTTATTTTCTTTCTCTCTCCCTCTCATTTTCTCTATCCCCTGTGTGTTTTTCTCTCTCTCCCTCCGTGTTCCCCTTTTCTTTTTTTTCCCCTTTTTCTCGCGCCCCTCTCTTTTTTTTTTCTCTCTCTCTCTGTCGCTCTTTCCCCCCCCTGGCCCTCCCCTCTTCTCCTCTCTTTCTCCCTCCCAGGGAACCTCCTCCTCAGTGCGGTCTTCCTGTCTCTGGCCACCTACCAGTGTCTTTATCCTCTCGTTCTCGTTGCTCCTGCTCTTCTCTACCTGCTGCAGGTGAGTCACAGACAGTAACAACAGTTTTTTTTTGGTCTGTTATTCATATATTTTCATTATTGTTGACTGTGTCCAGCACCAGTACATCCCAGTGAACTTCCGTCGGCCCAATTTCTGGTGGCTGGTGGCCCAGTACCTGTTCATGTTCGGGGGCAGCCTCCTGGTGGTGGTGTGTCTCTCCTTCTTCCTGCTGGGATCCTGGGATTTTCTGTCCTCCGTCTACGGCTTCATGTCAGTGATTCTCAGAGAGGCTCATCAATATAACAAACACACACATACACGTCCTAACTTGTGCTTATTTCCTCTGCAGTCTGTCTGTCCCAGACCTAACGCCAAATATCGGACTTTTCTGGTACTTTTTTGCGGAGATGTTTGAGCACTTCCGTCTCTTCTTCCTCTGCGTTTTTCAGATCAACGTCTTCTTCTACACAATTCCTCTGTCCCTCAAACTCAAGTAGGTCCCAGGTCTGTTTTGGGGGGAAATTACGAAGAAATTGTCCTTACCTTGTCTGTAGTCCGATTTCTTTTAGATCCTTTTTGATCCTGTATTAATTGATGGATACACATCACCTGATGTCACAATTTACATAGAATTAAAAAATTTAACAATACAGGGAAAATGTTTTTTGAGATGTAGCAGTCATTTTAATATTTCATTAAAATTTTCTCAAAATGTTTTGAGAGGGTCAATCCTGGATTATGTGCCAGGACATGTCTTTTTCAGCAGGGTTACACTTCGTACCAGCATTCTGCTGAGGCGAATACACACCGTATCATCACGCTGCTGTCACGCTGCTAATACATTACACTAGGGTGCTAGCAGTGTCAGCCTAGCCTAACCCAGCCACGGTGAAGCTAGATAGATTAGACAGACAGACAGAAACATAGATAGAACTTTAATAATCCCTCTGCAGTTCTCTGTGGGAAATTAAGGCTGCAGCAGTGTTACAGCACCAAATCAACAGTTAAAACACAAGAATAGATCAAATACAAACCTGAGTAGCAGCAGTAAATTGTCTGCTAAATAATAAATGCAAATGAAAAGGTACCAAAGAAAAAGGTACCGTTTCTGTCACTTCATCATTTCACAGTTCATCTTATTTATTTTCAGGGACCATCCAGTGTTCTTGATCTTCATGCAGCTGTCAATCATCTCCATCTTTAAGTCTTACCCTACAGTTGGAGACAGTGCCCTCTACCTGTCCTTCCTTCCTGTGTGGACTCACCTGCACAGATGTAAACAAAGTCAACTCAGTTTTTTTTTGTTCTATTTGTTAGATGTTATATGTAAACAAACTCTTTCTCTCTCACCCAACCACCAGTCTTGAGGAACATCTTCCTGGTCTCCTGTCTTCTCCTGGCTTCTTCTCTTCTATTCCCAGTCCTCTGGCATCTCTGGATCTATGCGGGCAGCGCCAACTCCAACTTCTACTATGCCATTACACTGGTGTTTAATGTGGCCCAGGTAGGGTCTCCCTGGACATAGGGACATAGGGATAAAGGGATTATAAAGACTTGGACCATATAGAGTTAGTTCACATAAGTTTGGACCCCAAAGACTTAGACCTCGTAGACTTTGATCCCCATACATTTGGAACCCATAAACTTATGGGGCATTCACACCAAACGTGATGGCATTGAAAAAAGCTTGAAACGCCTTTGTCTCACCGCTTTATCATTTTTGGATTATCGCCTCTTTTGCTTGGCGCACCTTTAGATGCTCCAGGGAAAAAACACAGTGTGCGGGAGAATTAAATTTGTCTGCTCATTTCTCAACCCAGTTCCATCAGTACCTCAGGCTGACAGTCGTAAATCAAGTCACAGAAGATCTGGTAATTTGCTTATTTTGCGTTATGTCAGAACTTTGCGATACCTGATAATAAATTGTGTGCTGTAACGCCATTTACATTGAATGTGGAACTGCTGCTCAATATATGCCTATAACTTTTGATGTAAACGCCTTCGTAGAAATACATAGACCCCAAAGATATAGACCATATAGACCACAAACTGGAAAAAAAATACTTTTTATTCTTTCTTTATGGCCCAGTACTAAATGATCCACAGTAACCGGCATTGGTCCCTTGCCCTGTGGTTGAGGACCCTTGGCATAGACCATGTGGACTTATACCCATAGACAGAAACCACATAGACATAGACCATGTGGACTCAGAATTGGCTCTTGGATTTTCCATTTTTGAAAAAGCGGTTTCACCAACTTTTGTTCTTCCTCAGATTCTTCTGGTGTCGGATTATTTCTATGCCTTCCTGAGGAGAGAGCACCATTTGACGTATGGATTGTACCTAAAGAGAAAGGATGGATCTGAAGCCGCGATGGTTCTCAAGTAAAACACAGTCTTTACTCCAGCAGGTGGCAGGAACATTCTGCAGCTTGTTCCTGAAACTCTGGGTAAGAAAAACAGACTCAGATCTGAGCTGATCTTCAGACCCTGAATGTGGAGGCATAATTCTCCTGCTGAGGAAAACCTTCCTGGTTTGCAGAAGTTTTATTTAATTTGCAACGCACGTCCTCTTTTGTTGCAGACACTCCTGACGACATTTATTTTGTAAAATGAACACACCCTGTGTTTTCCTCAAAAACAAAATCTTAAGAAACTTAAGACCTTGGTGAGGCAGACATTTCTCCTGACATCCTTGAACACTGTTCTGTCATTCTTTATGTTCTGTAAAGGACGAAGAGGTTTCCGCTGATTCCTGGAGTCAATGAAGTGTCTGGAACTTTTAACCTCTGACTATCAAGATCATATTCAGAAACAGCCACGGAAAGGTCATATATGACAAAAATAAGCAAGTTAACACGTTTTTAAGTTTTAACAAGTTCAAGTCGCTTGAAACTAGTTCTAAAAAGATTTCAGAGAAATCCTTGTAGTTTTGAGGCTGAATCCAGGTTGTTAAAGAAAAAGAAAAGGTGCCAGGGTTTTGTGGTCCACAGATCCCAAACCCTCTAGGCCTAAGAGTCTATGGTGATGTATAAGTCTGTAGGTGGTGCCATAGATCTGTCTGTGGTCTATGTTTGGTTAATTATGTCCTGCTCTGTGTTATCTTCAGCTGATTGTTGAAATAACGTTTGGATTTGTGGCGCTATACAACAACAACACTGCCATTAAATTAAACATTTAATACATTCAACTTTACAGCAACATTGCTTTAAAGGTGGCTTGAGAGTACGGGTTAACATGGTGTTGGAATATTAAGATTATTTGTGGATTTATTTTGTTTCTTGAGCTAAGAGGTACAAATTGTTCGGGTTGTACACTTGACAGGTGTAATTTAAAGTGATACTTTTTTTTTGTACTTATTGTAATAATTAAAGGTGCAGTTTTCATTTTTCTTCTGTTCTTTTCCTGTAATGCTGCTTTGTTCCATACACATCAAATACTGTAAACTGGGTCAGAACCTTTTCACCAAGAAATAAAGGTGACATTTGAACTGAGTACTGATTGTCCACTGGAAAAGTGAAAAGCAGTCTGACTATAGTCTATTAGGCTAGTGAGCGTGTGTGTGTGAAATGTACGGAAGCGTATTGCGTTATTACTATTATTGATAAGTTTTACCTCTAACTCTATATCGCGGTTCTACTTTCGCTCCCTCAGTACATCGCGGATCTAATCTTTAAACATGAAAAATGTTTTAATTTCCAATTAATAATTTCTATTTTCATTTTGCATTTTTTCATTTTTCATTCTAGCCTGCAAGGGAAAAACAGTATTTAAATAACCGAAAAGACATTTTGCAACACATACATACATACAGGGTACACAGTACGTTTGGGAGATCTAAGATATATGTACTGTCTATATGGTGAGCATTTAATTATTGTAGGGTACTTCAATTGGACACATGAGGGCTCTGTTGTTGTTGTTCGACTGTTGATAACAGTGTGGGGAGGTTCGTGAAGGGTAAATATATACGTAAATCATATAACTATCTCGACTCAGCGAATTTTTTCCGATTTTGCGGTGGGTCTTAAAACGCAACTACCGTAATGGGAGAGGGACCAGTGCATTCCGTGAAAACTTTCTCGTATTTCATTGCGTGATGACTGTTAAGCACATTGAGTTTGCTGCAAGAAATGCGCTCTATAAATAAAATTGAATTGAATGAAATGATGAATGAAAGCCCCCCCTGCGAGGCAAGAATATGGCTCGTTTACACAATTCAGTTGAATTGTTATCGAGTTATCGAGTGACGAGTTATCACCTAATTACGTGATAAGTTTTACGTCATTAGTGTTAGTATTAAATACGTTAAGGACAGTGTTGAGGACAGTTCAGGTTGACTACAGCAAGGGTAACAATTAAATTGGAATTTATACATACACACACACACACACACATACACATATATGCACATGCATATATATATATACCGCTGCAGTATGAGAATTGGTAAAGCCTCAATATCATTTCATTTTTTATATATTTATTTTCCTTTTTATTTATTTATTATTAGGCATTTGTTGTTTGGCCGTTTATTTGAGGTAATGTGCCTTAATTCTGAAAAGCAATAGTGACCTTTTAGACAGAAAACATATTGATAATAGACACAACAAATTGTATAGAACCCAAATGCACGTTGTATAGAACCTGCTTTTGGGTTCTATACAACTGTATATGTATATACACTATATTACCAAAAGTATTCGCTCACCCATTCAAATGATCAGAATCAGGTGTCCTAAACCCTTGGCCTGGCCACAGGTGTATAAAGTGCAAAGAGGTCGCCGACTTTCTGCACAGTCAGTTGCTACAGAGCTACAAACTTCATGTGACCTTCAGATTACCCCAAGTACAATCCGCAGAGAGCTTCATGGAATGGGTTTCCATGGCCGAGCAGCTGCAGCCAAGCCACGCATC